TGTGTGTGTGTGTGTGTGTGTGTGTGTGTGTGTGTGTGTGTGTGTGTGTGTGTGTGTGTGTGTGTGTGGAGCCTCTCTTGGGGTCACATGTAGTGAAACATTGTCTCAGGTGGACCTGCGTCACTCGTGACATGAACTGATGGTATACACAATCCAGGAGGCAGTGAGGAGAACTTCCTGCCCTTCTCTCTCTCTCTCTCTCTCTCTCTCTCTCTCTCTCTCTCTCTCTCTCTCTCCCCTCTCTAATAATTTGAGGATTCATTCTATTCTGTTTATTGGTTTAGCTAATAAAAACAAACTTAAATCCAAAACATGAGTGTTCTGCTTTTTAAGTCAAGTTCAGTTTATTTATAAATCACTTATAAAACAGCATGAACAAAGCAATCACTCCACATAAAGGACAATATTCAGGCTATAAAAACAGTCGCAAGTCTAAGAAATAAACTCAAACCCAGATTTCCATTCAAGACATCAATAAATCCAGAACTAAGATACCTTTGTTAGCAGAATATTAAAATCTAGATTAAAAAAGTGCGTCTTCGGATGTGACTTGAAAATAGAAAGTAAAGTGGACTGTTTCATCACTAGATAAAGTTCATTCCATAGTTTGTGTTCACCACTCCTTTTAACACGCCTTCGGGAAATTCAAGAGTAAATGCATTAATGTGATGTTTCTGCGGGTTTTTGGAACAAAATCCCTATTTTACATCAGAGGAGACATATTTATCTTCTTGTTTTATTTTAGCCCGTTGTAGAAAAATCTAATAAAAGTAAACTGTTAAAAGAAAAAACTGTATTTTCATTTTAGTACAATGCTGTTAGCTAAACGTAAGCATTGTTTAAATTTGAGGAGTAATTTTAGATTAATTCTGTAAAATTGATGTTTAGAAAATAGGAAAAGGCCTATCAGCATGATCTCTGTTAAGCAGATGATCATTTTGTCCATACTAGTGCATATTTTGTGTCATATTAATAAAACATGATTTAATCACCCGTGAGAAGTCCTAGAAGAACACCGTACATTTAGCTCTATTTTTAGAAAATGTTTAAATAAAGCGAGATTTTCTAATCATGCATGATATAATTTACATAATATTAAACGTTTAATGTGAAATTAATTCCAGTAAAATTTAGTATTAATTTCAGACCTAACAACAATTACATGAAGGGCATTCCTGTGGAAACCAGCAACAGATGTGGAGTTTAATGTAATCACAAACTCATTCACGGTTTCATGTCTGGTGGTCTGTCATGTGGTCAGATTTTTCTTTTTCTTCTGACAAAATGTCACAGTTTATTTTTACTGTTGGTCTCTTAATTATGAGGAGTAACAGTTCATCTGTGCCATTGCAGCATCCAGGATGCTTTGTGGGCTTCTCACAACTTGGCTCTGATTCAAACACATAAAATGATTCCATTATTGATAAAAAATCAGAGCAGGTAAAGGTTTTTCTTCTCGCAGCTGTCTATGATCCAGTAAAATACATTTCCAGACATTCTTGACTTGATGTTACTGCCATCCATCCATCCATCCATCCATCCGTCCGTCTTCAGCCGCTCATCCGGAGTTGGGTTGCGGGGGCAACAGCCTAAGCAGAGATGCCCAGACTTTCCTCTTCCCAGCTACTTGGGCCAGCTCCTCCGTGGGAATCCAAGGTGTTCCGAAGCCAGATCCACGAGTTGTTGTTGACTTGATGTTACAGATATAACTGTAGCTTAGGCCATATCCTTGTTTCTATGGTTTCTGTGATTTGTCAATAAGACAGAAAATCAAGGATGAAGCTGAATAAATGTGATCATTTTTGGATAATCTGTGACTTTCACGGATCCCAGCCAGCGGGGGATGAAACACACTCAGATTCACTTCTAACTTGATTTTCACAATGTCACTTGCATGATGCAGAAGCCGGGGCTGTGGCTTTCATCTCCTCTGGTTTTGACAGCTTCTGGATCTGATCTCCCTCATTTAAGTCAGAGGTTTTCTGAAAATTATGCTGCATTTAATATAAATAGAACTTGTCATTCCAGGAATCGTACATCTACCTTTATAATATTTGTAATTTAGTTTGTCTAAATACCATTATAATTAATCAACCTTGCTCCAGAACTCAGAAGGTAATCGTTGCGAGTCCTTTAGGATGCTTTAAGATGCTTTCCACTCCATGACCTGTCTGTCTTAAGTTCACCGTATCATTAGTTTAATTAGATGAAGACTAGCTGCAGCTGTTGAGAAGTGTATAAATCCTGCTTTTTTTCCTCATTTTCCCTGTTTATAAATGTTTTAATCATATTAGATTAAAAATCTGCCTTTTTATCAACATCTCTACTCACATCTGCTTAGAACTATATATTCATACATAAATATTCAGCCCAAATACAGATTTCTAACAGATCCTGATGATCTTTGTTACGTCTGATCTGTGTTCCTCATCTGATTCTATTTTCAGGTTCTTCACAGAGCTTGTTTTTTTACCTTTTTGCTGACATGTTTTGGCTACCCCTGTGGACGGAGGCAGAAGTGACGCCAGCAACATCTGCGATGCTCTGACGAAGGCAACAGTGGGAGCCGAAGCATGTCAGCAAAAAGATAAAAACACGCTCTATTTATAGTGAAGCACCAGAAAATGGAATCAGATCCTAATGAAGCTGATAGTTTTCTTCTGAAGTCAGATTGTACTCAACAGTCACCTTTGTAGCATAACCCAGGAAGGCTTGTGTGTGTGTGTGTGTGTGTGTGTGTGTGTGTGTGTGTGTGTGTGTGTGTGTGTGTGTGTGTGTGTGTGTGTGTGTGTGTGTTCAAGCTTCGCTCTGGCCTGTCTGTCCCAGTTCTGTTCACTCCAATCAGAGGGATTTACTCACAGCGTCTGAGCGTCAAGCTGCTAGAGATCTGCTGGCTAATCTCATCGTGATACTGACAAACTAATCAAGTGGAGCTTTAGCTGTAGTCAAACCCAAGATGGAAATACATCTCATTTTGGAGGTAAACGATAAAGAATTCATTAAACCAGTATTAGATAGTGGGAAGATGATCAGTACACACCTGCTGACATCTTAGTGAATCTTTCTTGAAATCACTTTAAACATAATGACAATAAAAAGTGCTGAGCTCAAATTTAGCAACACATTTTTTATCAACACAAATTTCTACCTAAACCGCTGCGAAAGGAAAAGTTATCGTATGATGTCATAAGTGACGTGATTTTTTATTGTGTAAAAATGTCAGAAATGACAACAAGGCTTATAATACAAATTTTAAACATCAACATTTACAATAAATATTATAGAAAATAAGCAAATAATCACTGAATTTACATGACAGATACTTGTTACGGGTACAGGATCCTTTTTCTTGGAAAAAAAACTATTTTAACTATTTTTTAACAATATATGTTTTTCATATTTTCAAGCTTTAAAATACTAATAAAAGATAAGTCAGAGGTTTTGTTTAGACCCACAGAAAAACAAAAAAAACATGAGTTTTTATTAAATGGATGCATTGAATTTTATTAGTGATTAGGTTTGTAATAATCCATCCATTCGTTTTCAGCAGCTTATTCTGGGTCGGGTCACAGGGGCAGCAGCTTAAGCAGGGAGGCCCAGACTTCCCTCTCCCCAGCCACTTGGGTCATCTCCGCTGGGCGAGTCCCAAGGCGTGCCCTGGCCAGACGAGAAACATTGTCCCTCCAGTGTGTCCTGAGTCTTCCTTTAGGTCTTCTGCTGGTTGAACGTGCCTGGAAAACCTCACCAGGGAGGCGTCCAGGAAGCATTCTAACTAGATGCTCGAGATAAGCATCCAAAAATGAATGGATGGATGTGCTTTACCAGTGGGTTAATGGGCGGGTTAATCAGTGGACAAAAGGCACATTTACAGGGTTGAACATTTTCATTAATCTGGGTTGCCCTATAAATGTTAGTTTTATATTCTAATGTATGTTTAATTAAAAAAAACAGTCAAAATACTTTTTCTGCACATCTTCTTCATGATAACCCGTAACTGATTGGATTGTGCTTTTATAAACGGTTTACATTAAATATCAACTTGTTCAAAAATGCATTTTTTTAAATTAAAAACAGAAACACTATGTGTTCTGCTCCAGTGGGACATCTGGTCTCCCCATTCCACCATCAACTATCACACGGGTGTTTGAATTTCCAGAACTTCAAGGTCTTCTGAAAGCACCTCATCCACGGTTTTCCAGTCTTTCTGATCCTGAGCTCTGTTTGAACAACTAACTAATCAGAACAGTGAATGGTCTGCTTACGCACACTTCCTGTGGCTCCTTAATTAGTGCAGAGGCTTTCATTGCAGAGCAAACAGCAGCATAATGCTGCGTGGTGACGGACAACACCTGCCCCCAGGAAAACACGCTAAACCGTATTTATCTGGAAACTTTTCTCTCAGCTGATCCTGTCAGATATATTAGCAAAATCAAGGCATTTTTACATTCGCACATAATCACAAAAAATGATTTTTTAAATACATAAATCAGTTTGTAAACAAACAGAGAACAGATCAATTTACATCAAGGTGAATTATATTCCTAGATTATTATTTTTTACTTTCTCCTATTAGAGGAAGTTGTGTTCACTCATTCACATGTGGGAAAGCTCTGGGATGTTTGGGAGTTACATAAACACATTATTTGATTGTGAGACAAGGAAACGAAGGACAGGGAACTTGGAAAACGAGCTGAACGGAGCTTTGATTTGACCAGCAACTGTCTGATGTGTTTTCGTTAACCTGCCTGGAGCAGATGGCGCTCAATGAGCCAGAAATCCAGAGATGCTGCGTGGGACTGCACATGTATGCACTCAACAATATATTTATTTATTTAGGACAGTGCATGTTAATGAACATAAATGTAAAAGCAGCTTACATGAATGTAAACATGCCAGATTATAGCCAAAGGCTAATTTCCATCTGTTGTCTTCAGACATAAAAAGACATAATTCATAAAAATTCATCATTCATTCATAATAAAAACTCCATCACCAAACTTACACATGCACACCATTCTATTCACAAATAAAACATTAAAACTATACAACTCATACATGCTCACACACTTGATTTGTCCATAACCAGTTTTTAACCTTTGCCTTAAACAAATTGAAAGTCGAGCATTCTCTAATGGGTTGAGGAAGACTGTTCCACAGATGGCCACCCTTGACAGAGAGGACATTCTGCCCAAAAGCTGTCCGTCTATGTGGTATAAACAATTCTCCTCGAATCGTAGCTCGTGTAGACCTGTTTGAGCTTTCTTTATGCCTAATGAACTGCTTTAGTGGTGGTGGCGCAAGGGAGTGTAAGACTTTATATATTAAACAGACTCTTTTAGGTTTCATTAAGTTATTGAAGTTCAGTAATTTATGTTTTTTAACACATGACATATCTAACAAATGCCTTTATTTATTAGCTCAGTTTAGTTTGCTTTATACTTAAAGTCTGCCCACATGTTTGTGCAGCTGCAAGAATACTTCCAAGGAAAAATTACTTGTTGAATTTTATCTCAAAGTATTCAAATGAAAACCTTTATCTATTTTCCATAATCCTTATATTTTGTTACAGAAGTGATAAATGACCCGCACTTGTATAGCGCCTCTCAGAGTAAGGACTCCAAAGCGCTTTACACTACAGTGTATCATTCATCCATTCACACACCCATTCACACACTGATGGTGATGAGCTACGATGTAGACACAGCTGCCCTGGGGCGCACTGACAGAAGCGATCACACACTTGGCGCCACCAGTCCCTCCGACCACCAACAGCAGGCAAGGTGAGTTAAGTGTCTTGCCCAAGAACACAACAGCAGAATTCTTTTTCCGGAGCCGGGATCGAACCTGCAACCTTCCGATTACTGGACAACCCGCTCAACCTGTTGAGCTGCTGCTGCCCCCAAAGGAGCACTGACTGATCTGGGAAGATTTAGTAAAACCTTCATAAATGACCTTTAACATCAGACCTGAGAGTGATCTGCAGAGGATCCTGCACTAAAGTGAACACACCACTATGACACAGCTGTGTTGTGTTCATAAAGTCAGGATGCTTCAGGCATTTCTTAACTGACAGTCTAAAGATGAAATCTGACAGGGCAGCTGGAAACATCTGGGCTTCACGCTGATTTCTGTGACATAACTCACCCAGCAGCAGGGCCAGCAGCAGCCAACACACACAAACATGGAAGAGCTCACAAACAAACTCACAAGCATCACAGCAAAAGGGTCAACCCGTGTCTAGAAAGAGCACACTTAAAAGAGACGCGTCCCTCCCCCAAAGAATGATGTCCGTCCGCCACGTACGACCGCGGCACCTTGGGATTTCCATTAGAAAGAGTGTTCTGCATATCAATCCAAGCTTTAATTAAAAAGCTGCTATATTCACGCTGCCTTCGTAAGCCAGCTGGAAGCGCGCAGGTTTTTCTCCTGAGTGGGTGAAATGCCGCATTTGGAAACCAAATGAGTTTATTGTTTCCAGGCTCGGAGCCTTTCATCTGATTTTATTTGGTCCTTACTGAGTGACTGTCACCCTTTGTAAACACTTGATGTTGCAATCAGCTTTAGCATCATTACTCATATGCTTAAAGGGTGACTCAGCACTATTCTCATGTGGAAATTATACTTAATACAACCAGAAAACATTATTGCTGTAAAAACAAAGCAGCTAAATAGATGTTATGGTTACAAATTTCAGCCAGATGGAGAATAACCAGAAAGTGCATTTTACCCCCAAATCCCTTCTTACCCTTTGGAATTACTTTCTTTAGAAATATAGAGAAATATTGATCTACAGGATTGATTTGCTAACAGCTAATCTGAACACAACTAAACAGAAGTGTATTGCTGTAATCTTAAAATAGCCACTTAGGTCAGCTCTTCTAGGGGAACCCCAAGTAGCTCCTTGACCAGCTGAGAGACAATAGTCCCTCCAGCGTCTCCTACCGGTTGGATGTGTCCAGAAAACCTCACCAGTGAGACATCCTAACTAGATGCCGGAGCCACCTCAACTGGCTCCTCTCGATGTGAAGGAGCGGATCTACTCTGAGCCCCTCCCAGATGACCGAGCTTCTCACTCGATCTCTAATTATTATTATTATTATGCTGCTGCTATATGTTTTGTATATTATTAGCAATATTTACCTGTTTAATATTATCTTGTTAGGGATATTTTTTGTTTTTGTTATTGTTGTGCATCTGCACTTCATGCTAATGTCTACGCATGGGACACTGTGAAACGTAATTTCAATTCCTTTGTATGGCAAGCACATTCGAAGAAATTGACAAAGTACTCTATTCTATTATTATTATCTTTCACATGAACTGAAGTGAATTATTTAAGATTGGAGCAGTTTTAAGATGGCAGCAGAACACTTTGAACTTGGCTACACTCAGACTGGCCATTAGCTGATCAGTAAAGACATCTCCATTTCTCCACCCCCAAAAATAAAAAAAAAAAAACGGTTCAGGAACTACCTACAACAAGAAAACCTTCATAAAGAAACTTACAGGGAAATTTGATGGGAAAAATAACTCTTTTTGGTGCTGCTGGGGCATCTTTAAGTTGATCTTCGTTAAGAAAATCGCAAAAATGTTTTTAAACTGCAATATTTTTTCATGACATTAGCTATTGAGACATTTTTTGTTTGCTTCAATTAAATAACAATGATTCGATAGGAGCTTCAAAAACATGTTTTTATTTTAAAAAAAAATCTGTTGATCACTGTACAAAAATAGTCTGGTTATTAATAGTGAACTATTAAAAGAGAGGATGAAGTCTATTACTGGTGGTGTCCATCCAGTGGAAAAGCAAATATTCAGACACAAAGCAGGATCTTCGGAGGGGAAATGCTAGCAGCTATAAAAAGCAGCCGAGGGAGGCTGAATGAAAGCTGAACTGGGATCAGCTCAGACAGGAAACTGTGTCCTCATCACTTCTGCCAAATTAGGATCAGCCTCTGACAATTCGGCTTGTAGGTGCTGAAACTGAACAAGAGTAGAAAAGGGAGAGAATAGAAATCACATTTTATCTTCCAGAGAGCACTGTGGTGTGTGTGTGTGTGTGTGTGTGTGTGTTCCAGTCAGATACAAACTCAGGAATTAATGATAAATTTGGTTCTGAGGTGATTAACTACAAACAACCTTGTTATACCTCTGGTTAAAATATAAAAGCATCTTATTCAAAACAAAAACCAACAACACCTCAGCATATTAAAGTTTCCACACATAATTATGAGGGAACTCAGAAACTTTGTTTTGTAAACCATCTCTGTCTACAAGGCCCTTTATTATATAGCAAATATAGAGAGAAAGAAAGAAGAAAGGACAATATCGGGTTAATTATTAAACCATCAAAGTCAATCTTGACTCCTCAGATCATTAACACTTACAGCTGGTTTGTAAACTATCTCAGCGTGCTGTTTGGTAGGTGTAGGTGATTAATGTCTGTGGAGTGGGAAGAAAAACAAGCTCCTAATGCTCATGAGAAACATAAAGAGGCAGATTGTTTACTTCCCAATGGAATGCAGTATCTATATAAGAATCAGAGAGAGAGAGAGGGGGGGGGGGGGGGAGAACTTACTGCAGTCTCAAATTTATGATGTAAACAGGAAGCAGCAGCGAGACAAGTCTTCTCTGTCAGGTAACCTTTATTCATCAAGTCTGCAACCGTATCCTACACAGAAAAACACACCGAATCCTGAATGAATCATTTCCTAATTAAGATCTTCTAATGATGTGATTAAACCATAAAAAAATGAAGACAACTCTTCCTAATGTTACCTTAGAAATATCAAGACAAAGATCAGCTAAAAACTCTGCTGTGATCTCTGCAAGCGTCTCCAGCTGTCCATCTTCAGCACCGCCCTTACTTGTGGCTTCATGCTTACACTCCCTGTGGTACTGGCACACTCGGAGGACATTACCAATTAGGGGCACAACTACAGACAAAAACAAATCACATAATTATTAACCAAATAATTTGATTGCATTTGCTTTACTCACTATTAAGAAAAACTAAAAACACCTGCTGTATTACAGAGAAATGCAGAGGAAACTTACTTGAGTCACTTCTGCTGCGCCACTGATCCTGACATCTGTAAAGAGCCTGAAGCACAGAAAAAGCCTGAACCAAGACACTCTTCCGCTCATGCAAGACAACTGGAAGATCATCTGTCTGACAGAGGTCCTCACACACGTCACAGACAAAGTCCCGCACCGATGCGCCAGGTCCGTCAGGAGCAGCTGAAGTAAACAATAATACTCATTTGTTAAGACCTTCCTTTCACCTTCTCTCCTGTTGCGGCTGCATGAAACAACTTTAATTGATTTAATGAAATTAGAAGGAATGCTCTTACCAAAAAGCTGAAGGCCTTCCTCTATAGTGGTGAGGAGCTGGAGGATGTGAAGGTAAATCTCTACGCCATTTGGACTCTCAGATCTACAAGAATCATGATTTTAGGTTTTTTTTGCCCGTAATAAGCAGCAAACAGCAGCAAAATCGTATCTGTTGCTTCTGCTGATATCACTGTTTAGTTTCTGAAACTGTAGGATGTGTCAAGTTGTGTTATCGTGTAGTTAGAAAACATTTTAAATGTAATTATTAACTAATCATCAGTCGGCTGCCTACTTCTTTATGAAGAAAACTGGTAGTACACTAATCATTAATATTTCTGATGCAGCTCAGGAGCAGGCTGAATGGGCCATCAATCTTTGAACATCTTAGGTGTGTTCTTGCTGTGTCGTTCTAATTCCATGTTGTCGTTCTTTTTAAAACACAGAAACAGTTTTGTTTACCTGTTTTGTCGCTACGTTTCGCCGGCAGCTGCAGGAGACGTGGATGTGGGACCATGAACAGGGACGACGGAGTGTACACGTTACACCGCGCATGGGACTGCATCGTCGGAGAGGGGAGAGCGGGCAGTAGAGGGCGACAACGTCCTCTGCTGCCCGCAGATAAACGGAGAAGGAAGTGACGCACCACCATCAGCGTCAGCCTGAAGAAGCCTGCAGCTGCCGGCGAAACGTAGCGACAAAACAGGTAAACAAAACTGTTTCTGTGTTTTAAAAAGAACAACAACATGGGGCCATCAATCTGCTTCTACAAACCAACCTCTCAGTAAGCGGCTACACATAAGTCATGAAATATGCCAGAGCACAGTATTCCTAAAACAGTCTGCAAGTTTAAGAAATACAAACGTCCTGAATTCTCCTAAATTAAAACAAGTCTGACTTGAGAGCAGCTTTCTGCAACAACCCCGAGGCGCCAGAGGGGAAAACATACAGAAATTAATTTAAAAAAACATTAATTACATTTCTCTGACAGCTCGACAAACAGCCTGCAATTAGGTCTGAAACTAAAAACCACTTAATATATATTGTGACCTACTCCCTTGAGCACAGGACCTTCCACTTCATACGTATGTTTCTCTCGGTTCCTACCTCAGCTGTTTAGCTGCTTCAAGGAGACAAAATGTTACATCCAGTTGGTTTTCATCATCATCCTCCTTGTTCTCACACGACGAGGATGTGATCCAACTCCTCATCAACTCTTCATCAAGGTCAAACAGCTTGTCCACCAGCTCGCCCACCTTCTCAAGCAGGTCCGCTGCAAATGTGAAAAATGTACATAAATTAAACATTTTACAACCAAGAAAATATTTTACATGTATATAATCCAGATAAAGACTCTAAAGTCATCATAAAACATCAAAACACCCCATTTTCCCACAAAAGCACAAATTGGATTATTATTGTAAAGTATTAATTAAACATAAAGTACTTTTGGTAGAACTGGACATGATGAAACAGAGGTTGGAGCACAAAGATGTCTGCTGTCGGATTCGCTGGAGCCAAAGAGAACAGACGTCTTTCTGAGACAAACAGGTGAGCAGCAACCTGAAAACATCACCTGATAAGATGATTTTTCATTTTAAAATACTTTTCAATCAACAAATCTGAAGAAAATAAAATTACCTGCTGGTTTCCAAAAGTGTTGGGGGATCAGCATCTTCAAGAAGAAGCAACAGCACAGCTCTGTGGATACACAGGGAAATGCATTGATAAACACAAAAGTATCAATTATTTGTTTATTTGACTAAATTGGGAGCCGGTGGTTTCGACTCACCCTAAATCTTCGTTTTGGCTGAGGGTGACACATGTTTCAGGAAAACAAGCAATGTTCCCAAGGATTCCCACACAGATTTCCTAATGAAGGAGAAAGTTGAAGAAATATTCAAAAATTTAAAAATAAATCAATATAATACCACAAGATTACATTGTGGCTCATACGAGCTGAAAAGGCGTTCACTCACTGTAAGACGTGGACATTGAGATTTGGTGATGACTCCGAGGAGAATATCAGCAGCTTTGAACTCCTGCAGAAAGCCTGCTACATCCTGCATGGACATGGCACAAAGCAAACAAATATCTGACTGTTAATAAATCTATTTCAATAGAATGATTTCGTAGAAAATTGAGGAAACAATGTGTGCGTGCCACCTTAGCAAGATCATGTTTATTTTAAAACAGCCTAATAAATGTGATGATTATGGAAAGCATATGTCCAGCTCAAGCTATTTAAAAAAAATTGCCTTTTATTAGATTTACCTCACAAACTTAATTATTAAAATAAAAGCTACTTTCAAATCTGGCAGAGAATGACAAATCAAACAAGATGGAGAGATACAGGTGAAGAATTGCACCTTATCCATTGCCATATCCCAGACTTTACAGAGATCTTCCTCATCATCATCAGAGAGCTGCATCTGACCATCAGAGTTATCCTGTGAATGCTCCGAAACCATCTGCAAGACAACACAAATTTGCACATTCAGATAGTTACCTGTAACTGTGCATGAGAATCAGTGAGCACTAGATGGATTAAAAACTTCACTTTTATTATGGACAGAAAATAGCATCTGTGAGTACTGTAAGACTGTCATTATGATTTCAAACTTGACAGTAATAGCAGTAGCTTAGGAGGTAGAGCCGGTGATCCAGCTATCGGAAGGTTGCATGTTTGATCCTGGCTCCCACCAGAGAATTCTGCTGTTGTGTCCTTGGGCAAGGCATGCCTTGCTTCTGTCAGTGCATCCCAGGGAAGATGTGACTACATCGTAGCTCATCCCCACCAGAGTGTGAATGTGTGTGTGAATGGGTGGATGACTGATTGTGTTGTGAAGTGCCTTGGGGGGTTGTATAGTCCTAAAAAGGCGCTATAAAATATAGACCATTACAGGGCATTAATCTTCCTATCCAACTGACCCAATTAACTCATGAACATTGATCTTTATTAAGTGTTTTAAAAGTGAATAATTTGGCAAGAAGATGTCTGCCTACATTAATAAGGCGAGTCAGGGTGCTGAAAATCCAGTGCTTGCTGTAAATAGTTTCTCCAATGGCATCGAGATCATCATCCTCTCCCACAGCTTTCTCTGGAGGTGGTGATGGGTTACGGTCCATCACAGGAGACCGTGTCCCAGACAAAGGTGAGGATCTGTCCGCTTCTTCATGCTCAGCACCATCAACGCTACTGTCTGGGAAAATAAACAGAGAATAAACTTCCCATCTAGTCCTTTATAACAGCTGCTTTTGTGTAGCACACCCACAAAACTTCCCAAAATCCACTGCAAATTCATCCTCTTATTATTGTTTAGCTATAATATCAAAATTCATCGTTTCAACAAATAGATACACATCTAAACAAAAATGCACTAAGTTCTGATGTTCTGTTTAGTAAAACTGCCTCGGTGGGTTAAATGTACGAAGTAAGCTAGTAGCCGTTTGTGCCACTGATACAGGTTAGCTGTCATATATAAGCTTTATACATTTAAACTCACCCATGTCGACCGTTTTTGACCAAAGTAGCTTGTAGGTAAAAGTCCAAATTACTGTTTTGGGTCGTTTAAACTACCGCAAAGCTAAATTCTGAAAGTGTCCATTCAGAAAACCCCCCCAAGCTGCGCATGCGCAAACCATCTTGTTGTGGTCGACCATCTGGCTGTAAAAATGACACCGCCTTCTACAGGATTGATGAGGAATTGCATGTTCTGTAGGCCTTTTTATCTGTTAAATAAACCCTCACCATAGACTGTACATATACAGTATACATTATACAGACCCTCACCCACCTCAAACATAAAATTATTTGAAACAAATAATAATAAAGAGAGAGAGAGAGAGAGAGAGAGAGAGAGAGAGAGAGAGAGAGTTCCATACATAAATATACTGTCAAAATAGTTAAACTTTCAGAATTAAATTCAGAATAGATTCAAAGATCTTCCTTCTCATACGATCTCAACAATCCAGCTTCATCGCACAAGAAATTGTTCCATATGTTCCTAACAGCACTTTGCTTTCAGACCTCCGGTTGGTTCCTAGAATTTCTAAATATTACAATAAGGGGCAGGGCTTACACATATCATTCCCTTCTCCTGTGGAACCAGCTCACAGCGTCAGTCAGGGGGGCAGACACTTTGTCTACTTTTAAGACTAGGTTTAAAACTTCATTTGATAGAGTTTATACTTATATCTTGAATGATATTATCCCAGGATTGGATGAGCGGAGGAGCAGAGGGAGGTGGCATGTACAGCGGGAAATACAGTCGATAAAGACGGTTCTCCCTGGCCCTGTCTCCTCCTAAGAGGCTTATTCTGAGTTATTTCTGTAGTCTTATGCTGTTTCCAAGTAATAATGCTGCTGTGCAGTTCTGCTCTCTCACACAGAATGAGACATGTTCAAATATAAAACCTGTTATACAAATTATTTCTGAGTGTTTAGTGATGAGGTCAGGGTGACGGTTTGTTAATACCAGTAATGTTTGATGTTACATTACTGAGAATTGAATGCACTGTTTAGTTCTCAGCAGTGGTGATTGCAGAAATCATCACCTATAGTTAATGTTTGCATTTCTATTTCCTTTATTTTGTTACTAGTATTAATCTTTGGATTTGTCTTTCTAAGCTGCGTGTGCTGTTGGCCTCGGGCCATGCAAGAGCAGGCGGTGCAGTACTTATGTGTGGCTGTTTGATTTAAAGTTTAAGCTGCAGTTTGGGTGTTGCTTCTGTTACAGAGAAGGGTTTAATTTTCTGTGTAGTTTTTGGTCATGCTTTGATAAGCTAGCCTGTCGTTCGGTGTGTCACAGCCCTGCAGAGACCAATTGACCTTTGACCCAAATTATGAAACTGATCTTTGTCAGCTTGTTTTAAAACTTTTGGCCAACTCTTATTATGAGTTTTTTTTAGTTGTCTTATAAAACGTCATGTTATAAATCCTTTATTTAGACCCTGATATTTACTGTGTAAAAGATTCATATGATTAAATATGTCCCATAAAACTAAAATAGATGTTCTGCTCGTGTTGAGTTGTTCTGATGGCTTAGTTGAGTTTTCACACACATTCATTCATAGCAAATGTTGACAGGTACTGTTGCCAGCAGTCAATGCACACATTTAAAAGCTCTTCCTATTATACATAGTGCATTAAAATCATTTTCAGAGTGTTCTGTCCTCCTTCAACCAACATAACTGTAATAACTTTGTACCATTCTCATCCTGCAGCTGTGCCTCTGTGGGAGTGGTTCAAAGCCCTGTTTGCACTTGGAGGAGCTTACGGCTGTGTGACGAGCAGCTATTGTGTTTGCTTTCAAGATATAATCACAGATGGTGCAAATGACTAATAAGCTTTTATTAAGTGGAAAAGATGGGCATGCATCAGAAAGGTAAAGCTGAACCAGTTTTAACGATTAAACATTATTGTGATGTAAAACACAAAAGTATGAAGGGGTCTAACTAATACATCACAAACATCCTGCTAAAATAACACACACTCTATGCACTGCCTGGTTACAGTTTCCTTAAAAAAAAGTACACAATCCTCATCATTAAAACAAGCTAAATTCATTTCTCTCTTTTTAAAATAGTACTTAGGGCAATAATGGTCATCATTTTAGTTAAACTGATAATATAAAAAGAAAAACAAAGATGATATTAAGGTAATAACTAAGTGAGAAAATAATATTTCACTTAGTTTCATAATATTCACATGTCTTTAAGATTTTTATTAGGTATAGGCTTATTTCAAGCGAAGTGCATTCTCCATTAAAACAGGAATCAAAGTGTAAGACCTCGACCTGACATGCACTCCTGTGTGTGACGGTGATCAAGGATGTAGCCCATCCTGTGCTAAATACAACCCACATGCAATGAAGATACTGCAGGACTCTAACTGTATCAAAACAAATATTATACTTTGGTGGTATAATTTTATTATATTCATTAAGTCTCGCTGTTGGTTGAATTTGACTTCATTACAGTTCACTGAATTAATTCCTAGTCACGCATTTATCATCTTGCACGACATTTTTCTAAATGAATGTTTGGCAAAATGAGACAGAGATATAGAAATGCTGCCTTGGACCTCACCCAGACCAACAAGTTCTATGATGTCAAAGATCCAGGACATTCTGTGGAGAAATGGTTTAACTAAACGTTCACATCTAACTCTTAGATGCACTCGGGAATTGTTTAAAAGCAATCATGCCTTTAAACCAGAAATGATTGGAATAATAACCACATCTCACGATCACTACAGGACCAGGACTGTTCTGCTCGTTTTCTGATGAACTTACTTCACAAATTGAACAATTTTGGATGAATCAGTTAAATTAAAAACAATTATAGGTACAAAGATTTGACTAATGTTTCAGAATGTTGCTCTTAATGTTTCTAACTTTTATAGTTTAATGCTTCATAATTCATTCCAACCATATGCAAGTGTGACATAAATACACATTTCATGTTCTGAATAAGTACAAAAAATGAAAAACAGCACTTTTTCTGCAGCTCTGATGCAGTTTCTGATTTGATTTGGTTCATGCTAACTTTGTAAAACTTTGTTTTCATATATAAGTTATCATGATTTCAAATCAGATATTTTGATGCTGACAGCAGTACTGACGTCATTTCCACGCCAAAATTGTATTATGGTCTAATTTCAGGACTGCAACTTAGAGAAAGTCAGTTAATTATAGAGAATAAGTCCACAGTTTTGCCTAAAGGGCTGCATAGCAGTGCAGGTGGTAGCACTGTCACCTTGCAGCAAGAAGTTTGCAGCGTCATATCCCAGGTGCATGTTCTCTCCACGCATGCATGGATTTTCTCCACAGGCCAAATACAGGCATTTGAGCTCAATTGATGACTCGTAATTGTCCCTATTATATTATATTATATTATATTATATTATATTATATTATATTATATTATATTATATTATATTATATTATATTATCCATCCATTTTCTGAACCCGCTTTGTCCACTGTAGCGTTAGGAAGTTTATAATGGTCTGCCCTTAACAGCTGCCCCTTCACACAGTAACACCGCCAAGGTCGGACGCTTGGTTCAGTATGTTTACATTCCAGGAGAAGAGACAGAAGAACAGAAGAAGAACATTTTTCATTGATTAATCAAAGTACTTTATTTGTGATAAGCTAATCAAAGCATTTGTCGATCATTAATAATCAGGTGAATGATCTGTGTAATAAAGATGTCATGAGTTATGTGTTTGAATGAATAAACAGGGCTGCACCAGACACACTGATATGCATTACCATGGAAATGCATGACACATTGTTTTCAACCAATCAGAACTTTCGTCTGTGGTAGGGCAGAATCTGGTTTGTTTATTAAAGTAGTCCAATCCGGTTTACTAAGATTCTTAAACAACTGGGAGATATAAAAAGAAGGCAACGCCATTTTAAGTTCAGCCAGTCTGTGACTTCTTAATGATGACGATGGAAATCCTTAGGACCTCAAATGTATTGGAGCTGAAGTTAACATGTAACTCTTTTTAGGTGTGTTCTTGCTGTGTCTTTCTAAATCCATGCTTTCGTTCTTTTTTAAACACAGAAACATGGAAACGCTACGTGGATGACATACTGGAAATCATACCAAAAGGACAAACAGAAACACTAACACAACACTTAAACAATATTGACGACACGGGCAACATAAAATTCACTTATGAGTTAGAGACAGACGGCAGTATAGCATTTATGGATATGAAAATAACCAAGCAGACCGACGGGACCCTAAACATAAACACATACAGGAAACCAACACACACAGACCAATATTTATTATGGACATCAGAACACCCCACCATACACAAAATGTCAGTAATCAGAACATTATATCACCGAGCAAACATAATAACAGAAGAGAGAGACCGTAAACAGGAGGACAAACACATACAATACGCTTTAAAGACCTGCGCATACCCGACATGGGCAATAAACAAAGGAAAACAACAAACAAAAACAGAAAGCAAAGAACAACCCAAAAAAAGAACCAGAAACCCAGAAAGACAAGAACCAAAACCAGTGATAACCCTACCATACATCAGAGGCATAACGGAAAAAATAAGAGCAACAATGAAAAAACACAACATAAACACACCAACAAAGCCATACACAACAGTTAGAAATAGACTAGTACACCCAAAAGACAAAATATCAGCTGGACAAAAATGTGGAGTCATCTACGAAATCCCATGCAAAATATGCAATAAAACATACATAGGAGAAACCGGACGCCAACTCAACACACGGACAATAGAACACAGAAAGGAGTGCGAGAAAGAGGCAAGTCGAAAACACACAAGAGCAGCAAAAGAAGAAGCAGAAAGTACAATAAAAAAGTCAGCCGTAACAGATCATTGCTTAAGAGAAAACCATATAATGGACTGGGACAGCACACGGATCATAACCACCGAACAACAAAAATACAAAAGATGGATCAAGGAAGCAATCGAGATAAGGAGACGTGGATGTGGGACCATGAATAGGGACGACGGAGTTTACACGCTGGACCACGCATGGGACTGCATCGTCGGAGAGGGGAGAGCGGGCAGTAGAGGGCGACAACGTCCTCTGCTGCCCGCAGATAAACGGAGAAGGAAGTGACGCGCCACCATCAGCGCCAGCCTGAAGAAGCCGGCAGCCGTCGGCGAAACTGTAGCTACAAACAGGTAAACAAAACTGTTTCTGTGTTTAAGAAAGAACGAAAGCATGGATTAACATGTAACTGCTTAACCTGGAACTTCACGTGGAACTGAACTTAAAATGGCGTTGCCTTCTTTTTATATCTCCCAGTTGTTTAAGAATCTTAGTAAACCGGATTGGACTACTTTCATAAACAAACCAGATTCTGCCCTACCACAGACGAAAGTTCTGATTGGTTGAAAACAATGTATCATGCGTTTCCATGGTAATGCATATCAGTGTGTCTGGTGCAGCCCTGTTTATTCATTTAAACACATAACTCATGACATCTTTATTTCACAGATCATTCACCTGATTATTAATGATCGACAAATGCTTTGATTAGCTTATCACAAATAAAGTACTTTGATTAATCAATGAAAAACGTTCTTCTTCTGTTCTTCTGTCTCTTCTCCTGGAATGTAAACATACTGAACCAAGCGTCCGACCTTGGCGGTGTTACTGTGTGAAGGGGCAGCTGTTAAGGGCAGACCATTATAAACTTCCTAATGCTACACCACGCAGGGTCGCGGGGGGGGGGGGGGGCTGGTGCCTATCTCCAGCGGTCAACGGGCAATCAGGTGGGGTACACCCTGGACAGAGAGCCAGTCCATCGCAGGGCAACACAGAGACACACAGGACCAACAATCATGCACACACACACACACACACCTAAGGACAATTTGGACAGGCCAATCAACCTGTTTTTGGACTGTGGGAGGAAGCTGGAGAGAACCCATGCAAGCACAGGGAGAACATGCAAACTCCATGCAGAAAGACCCCAGGCCGGGGAGCGAACCCAGGACCTTCTTGCTACAAGGCAACAGCTCTAACTACTGTGCCACCGCGCATTATATTATATTATTATATTATGTTATATTATGTTATATTATGTTATATTATATTATATTATATTATATTATATTATATTATATTATATTATATTATATTATATTATATTATATGTGGTAACTCAAGGTGAAAGGTTTACGACAGAAAAAGGAAAACTATAATGTTAGTTGTTAGCATGAAAAAATACCCATAACTGCAGCTGGTAATTTTATTTTTTTATTCATTTTTGGCTCTGAGGTCTGGGCTAAACCTCTTAAAATGATTCATTTAAATCCTAATGATGGTGTTTTGGATTTACAGTTAAAAGGGTGTTTTATAGCATCCCATTCCTCTATGTGTAAAGTCTCTCAGATAAAATACATATAGTTGTTTTATCAAGAGATAAGGATGATATAAGAATAATTTATATGAGACTTGTGAAAGGCGTCAGACATTGAAACAGCAAATGTTTGCTCTGTCTTGGCTGTAAAACTTCATATCCCACTTGGAGAAAGGGTGTGAGGAAAAAAAGTGCAGGCCAAATATAAAAGGGACAACCAAGTGACTAAAGTCAACTCTGGTCACGGTGATCCCACAGCAGGGCCACAATGGGGGGGAGATCTGTGTGGTTGTGTTTTCTCATTTTACTGGTTGCCAGTGTAACTGAGGTCAGAGCCAGACTGGGTAAGGATCGGATTTTATATTTTTATTTCCACTTTCATATTGAAAACACATAATTCCCACTTTTGAGTTTAGGAATTGAATTAAGAGACTTGAACTTTCACAAATCTTCTCCAGTTCGTAACCATGTCAGCAACATCTGCAGCACGTGGGGAAGGCAGCACTACAAGACCTTTGACGGAGATGTGTTTCAGTTTCCTGGTATGTGTGAGTACAACCTGGTGTCAGACTGCCACGAGTCCTATCAGGGATTTTCAGTCCACATGAAGAGGACAGAGAAGGATGGAAATCCCACCATCAGCTACGTTTTGGTTACCATCAACGAGCTTTCGTTTTACCTCAGCAAGAATCGGGTGACTGTCAACTATCAGCCGTAAGTTAGAAAAAAACATGTACACAGCTGAAACCAGCAGTGGCTTTTCACTATTTGAATAAATAAAACTAACTTTTTTTTCTAGTGTCACCCTGCCATATTACAAAGGAGGCGTGCTGGTGGAAAATAATGCAGTTTACATCAAGCTACAGTCTAAAGTCGGGTTCACTGTCATGTGGAATGGCGAAGATGCTGTCATGGTAAAAACTGTTTCAGAAAACAAAGTGAAGTGAATGAGACTTCTGAATGGGTCTGTCGCTCATTTGTTTCTTACAGAATAATAATCTGTAAAAAGTAGGTTTTGTGAAGCCATTTAGACACAAACAGAATCTTATCAAATCTCCGTCTCTCTAACACTGTAGAGGTCTTTAAAAATCATCTAAAAACTCACCTTTTCATCCAGGCGTTCCCTCCCTAAATGTTTCAAAAAGATGGCTTTGTTCGGGTTCACAACTTCACTTTGTTTATACTCATGATTTAATTTTCTACGTTTATCACTGCTATTGTTTTTGTGATGTTTTTATTGGTTAGAGGTATTTGACCTGATCTTTATCATGTTGTACAGCGCTTTGTGATTTATATCTGTGAAAGGCGCTATATAAATAAACTTTTACTTACTTACTTATGTTCTGTGTCAAAGTTATGTTAAAGACTGTTTCTGTGTTTCTTTAGGTGGAACTTGATAACGATTTTGCAAACCGTACATGTGGACTTTGTGGAGATTTCAATGGTGTTCCAGTCTTCAATGAGTTCATTTTAAATGGTATAATCTATGGTTGCGTGCTTTACTGGGATTATTTAATCAGGATTCTGGCATGTGACACTATATTTTAAAAATGCAGGTCGTAGAATCAGTCTTATTGAGTTTGGTAACAGCCACAAAGCCCATCGTCCAAATGAAGACTGCGAGGATCCCTACGAAGAGGAAGATGAACCTGTCGAGGATGAGACGGTGTTGGATTCCTGCAAGGGATTTGTGAGTCTTTCTTTATTATATAATTTGCTGAGGTCAACAGTAAGTTTGCCTCTTTTCTCATCGGTTGTTTTCTTTTCAGGAAACCATCTGTGAAGAAAGGTTCCACTCAGAGTCCTGGAGTTCGTGCACCCAGCTGATTGATGCTGAAGCTTACATCCAGGCGTGTGTGATGGACATGTGTGGCTGTAACAACAGCACCGACGATTTCTGTGTCTGCAGCACCTTGTCAGAATTTTCCAGACAGTGTTCCCATGCAGGAGGACAACCTCCCAACTGGAGGAAACCTCACTTCTGTGGTAAAGTTTTGTTGTCCGTTTAGTTTTTGTGTGGCAAACAAATAGTGTGTTGTGGTGTTTGAAGCATGCCAGGGGCTTGTCCAGGGAGTGACCCGGGGTTTGCACATGCCACCCTTGGAATCTGATTGGCCATCCCACTGAGTTCCATTAAAATTAACTTTGTATTGTCCACAAAAGGCTTGGGATTATAAACCCCAAAACTGTAGGGAGCAGCATGCACTTTTAATGCTGGCTTCTAGCCCCAGGTCTACAGAACCTTTCAATGTTTTCATTATTAAAATCAGCTCAGTGGCCTAGTGGTATGAGTGTCCACCCTGGGAATGGGATATCGGTGTTCAAATCCTGGTCGGGTCATACCAAATGGAACTCAATACCTCCCCGCTTGACACTTAGCATTAAGGGGTTGGACTGGGGGGGTTAAACTACCAAAAGGTTCCCGAGCGCGGCTATGGCTGCAGCTCACTGCTCCCACAAATGTGGAGAACAAATATCGCACACACACACACACACACACACACACACACACACACACACACACACACACACACCTTTAGAATGTTTTCGTTTTGACCTAAATAGTATAAAGAGCCCCAGGTCCACTCCACTCCTGTTGGCTGTGGTAATAAACCAAGAAAAAAGCATAAATATTGGTGCCACCCCTGAATGAAACAAGTGCCCCATTTTAAAAGGCCTGGACACGCCACTGAATCATGCAGACAAAACCCCCCCAAAACATTTAATTGTCTAAAATCTGCTGCTAAAGAACTCATATTAGCAACACAGTCATTTTAATGATCTCAGCTACGTCATTCGTCTTTGCAGCTAAACAGTGCCCTTACAACATGGTGTTTGAAGAAAGCGGCTCTTCTTGCATGGACACCTGCACACATCTGGACACAAGTTCAATGTGTGAGGAGCATAAAATCGATGGTTGTTTCTGTCCACCCGGTAGGTTTCCTTCACATAAAACACCCAAACTGCTTAATCTTTATTTAAATGACACCTATGCATGTATTTTTTTCAGGAACTGTGTTTGATGACATCTCCATGAGAGGATGCGTTCCTCAGTCTGAATGTCAGTGCAAGCACAACAAAATCTATGATTCTGGAGAGGTTTATCGACAGGACGGAGAGGAGTGGTATGTCAGAATACATAAATGTCACAACATAGAAATAATGTGGATTTAGAGCTATTTTAACTATATGAACTACCTTTTTTATCTCAGTACATGCTTTAAAGGGATATGGGACTGTGTCAGCCTTGAAACACCAGCTATGTGTGCTGTTGAAGGAGGCTCACATTTCACCACCTTTGATGGGAAAACCTACATCTTCCATGGAGATTGCTACTACACTTTGGCCAAGGTGGAAAGCAAGGTGAATGCAATTCAGTGGTAGAAAATACAGTGCAAGCTCATCTGTACTGATTGATAGCTGTGCTCTGATTTTGTGTTTGCTACAGGGTGGCTCAAACCCAAAGTTCATCATCCTGGCCCAGTTGGAGCCATGTGCACATCAACAGTTTGACACATGTTTGAAGTCTCTTAAAATCCTGCTGAACAATGACAAAAACAATGTGAGTTCAGCACTAAACTTGTAGTTTTAGTCACATTGATTTCTACTGAATTTTGGTGACTGTGTGTGTTTACCCAGGTTTTAACGTTCAGCCCTGATGGTACCGTGAAGCAGAGCATGCAGACTGTCAGTTTGCCATATTATTCAGGTGAGTCCGATGATAAGAACCCTTAAAATAAACATGCTTCCAGTTATGTTCACAGGAAAATTATCTTTTTAATTCTCTATCTGTACTTGATTACAGGAGAAATCAACATATTCCGTCCTTCATCCTTCTACATTGTGCTTCAGACAACTTTTGGGTTGCAAATTCAGATCCAACATGTTCCCCTGATGCAAGTCTATATCAGTCTGGAAAAGAGCTACAAAGCTAAGACACGTGGTATGGTTTCACTTTAGGATTACATTAAACTTAGTTCAACTGCAGCTGGTTGCGTTTTGTTCCAGTAATTAATCATTTCCTGTCTTCAGGCTTGTGTGGGAACTTCAACATGGTCCTGAGTGATGACATGAAGACTCCTCAGGGTATCATTGAGGGAACTGCAGCAACGTTCTGCAACTCTTGGAAATCAAATCAAATGTGCTCAGACTCCGAGGAAAGGCTTGACGATCCCTGTTCACTCAGTGTAGAAAATGGTACGTTTAAACTTTTTAAAGTCAGTGATGTCGACAGTCCAGATTTAGCCAATCTAATTTGAGTTGTTTCATACTCAGAGAGGTACGCCAAACACTGGTGCGCCTTGCTCCTAACTCCACACAGTCCATTTGCACAATGCCGCTCAGTGGTGGATCCTGAGATGTACTATAAGGTACAAAAAAGCATTCTTCTACCTTTCACTAAATTTAATCAAACAATACGTTTTTGAAAGTGTTTGCTGTTTCCTGCAGTCCATTGTGTTTTCTTCATGGTGTGTGTGTGTGTGTGTGTGTGTGTGTGTGTGTGTGTGTGTGTGTGTGTGTGTGTGTGTGTGTGTGTGTGTGTGTGTGTGTGTGTGTGTGAAACAGAGGATGAGTGTTGTGAAGGGGCTTTTATTCTCAAACTATTTTAAAAATTCTGGGGGTGGGGGGAATGTGGGTATGCGGGCCCATTTTAATTTGTTAAGCACTTTGAGTTGCATGCATTGTATGATTAAGTACTATAAATAAAGTTTGATTTGATTTGATTTAATGCAGCGCTGCACTTACTCCAGCTGTAATTGTGAGAAGAGTGAGACCTGTTTATGCGCCGTTTTCTCCTCCTATGCTCGAGCCTGTGCAGCAAAAGGAGTGATCCTGACCGACTGGAGAGAGAATGTGTGTGGTAAGAAGTTTTTTTTTATTTTTTTACTTCTGGAGTTTGATCACTTATTCGCAAGTCATGAAGTTGTTGATTTTTATTTCAATATTCTTCACAAAATAGATAAATACATAAAAAGCTGCCCGGCATCGCAGACCTTCTCATATAGTCATCAGAGATGCCAGCTGACCTGCAGTTCTCTGAGCTCAGAGCAGCAGAGCTGCACCTCTGAGTTTGTGCCTGTGGATGGCTGCGCCTGTGCCGAGGGTCTCTATTTGAATGAGAAAGGCGCATGCGTTCCAATGGCAAAATGTTCCTGTTACCATAACGGGGTCTATATTAAACCAGGAAAGTCCATCAACATCAAAAATGAACACTGGTGAGTTCAGAACTTATTTTATGTGTGCTTTCATCATTAAATCAGTCAGTGGCCTCATTCTGGATCTTTCATTTAACTTTCTAGTGTGTGCAACAACGGAAAGCTTCATTGTCATTCTTGGAGAAGTCGTTCTTCAGGTTGGTTTATCCCCCCTTTCCCTTAATGAATGCATGTGGGACATTTAGTGTGCACTGCTAATGTTTTTCTTTTCTGTTGTTGCAGCGTGTCCTTCCCCTAAGGTCTTTTTTAACTGTTCCTCCATGGGAACACGAGAAGTTGGACTGCAGTGTGATCAGACTTGTTTAAATCTGGAAAGTGACTGTGTAAGTCGTTTTGCTAACCCTAACCCATGCATCTGCTTTTCCACAGTGTGAACACAGTTTTGTAAGGGAACATCAACTTTCCGTTTTCACACATTAAAATCCTTTTCCCTCTCAGGAATCCACGGAATGTGAGTCTGGTTGTCGGTGTCCCGGTGGGCTCCTTGATGATGGCAAAGGTTCTTGTGTGAGGAAGAACGATTGTCCGTGTCAGCATGATGGACGTTTTTTTGCTCCTGGAGCAACAATTCCAAACCAGTGCAACACTTGGTATGGCCGCCTTGAAGACGTTTTAACCTGCATGCTCTACTTCAGTATTTAACACAACTTAATAATTTATTGTCCTTTACAAATCTAGCACCTGTAAAGGTGGAAAATGGAAGTGCACAGAGAAGAAGTGCCCAGGAACTTGTGTTATCTATGGAACAGGACATTACAACACATTTGATGAGCGAACCTATGGGTTTCAAGGCGACTGTGCTTATGTTGCCACCAGGGTAAATAAAACCATTGTGTCTGACGTCCTACTCCTTTTCACAAACCAAATAATCAAGAATAAACTCAACAATGAGCACTAAATTCACATTTTGGGTATTTGTTAGTCATTATTGGCTTGTGTCATTAATAATATGTGTCACACCACAATATAAAATTATAGTAAACTTAGATTGACTTAGGAATTTCCAAAGGTGTTATTAGCTGGATACATTTGCAAATTTGTGAAATCAGCAAAAGGTTGAGGTCCACGACCCAGAATGTTCCAAAGACCAGATATAAAAGTCGAGGTGATGGCTCTTTCCAGAAATGTATTTGATGTCTATTTTAAAATGTTCTATAACAATAATCTCTTATTTTTTTCTTTTTAGAATAAGTGTGGAAACAAAACTGTTGAGAACAACTTTGGAGTGATCACAGAAAATGTACCGTGTGGCTCCACGGGCACAACGTGCTCCAAAACAGTCAGAGTTCAGCTAGGGGTGAGTTCAGATAGGAATGTGGTGCATAATGTGTATACTTAAATGTTACATGTCAGTACATATTAATTAATCTCGTTTACAACACAGAGAACCGAAATCAAACTGTCAAAGGGTAATTATGAAGAGCATGATCTGGAAAGTGGCGCTAAAATTCCCTACAGAATACGATGGGTTGGCTTGTACCTGGTGGTAGAATCAAACATCGGTGTGGCTGTGATGTGGGATCGCAAAACAACTGTTCGTATCCTCCTGCAACCACAGCACAGCGTAAGTCACAGCGGTTCAACTCCTCATAAAAAAATCAGTTTTCATACACTTTACCTGTTTGTGTTGTGATCATTGTGTTCATGTCACATTTAGATATTTTAGAGCATATTATGCACAATATGATAAAAGTTGTGTCATGTTTGTTCATGCAGGGTGAGGTGTGTGGCCTGTGTGGAAATTATGATGGCGATGGACAGAATGACTTCACCACTCAGGGTCAGCTAGTGGTGAACAACCATTTAGAGTTTGCAAACAGCTGGAAAGTAACCAGCATTTGCCCAGATGTGGAGGAGAGCACCGATGCTTGTGATATAGCTCCCCAACGACATCACTGGGCAAAATTGAAGTGCAGCATCATAACAGGAAATACATTCAAAGACTGCCACCACAAGGTCTGAATGCTGATAAAGTGACTTTAAAAATGTTCAGTTGCTTTTCTTATTCAACTCTTAGGCATGGATATGTCCCTATCAGAAATTTTGTTTTTGTGATTAAAAAGGTTAACCCTCAGCCGTTTTATGATAACTGTGTAAAAGACTCATGTGCCTGTGACACCGGAGGAGACTGTGAGTGTTTCTGCTCAGCTGTTGCAGCTTATGCTCAAGCTTGTAATGAGGCTGATGTTTGTGTTGCATGGAGAACTCCAGAAATTTGTCGTAAGTAAACCTTTTTGCTCTTAGAACAAAAAATAATAATTATTAATAGTATTATTTAAACCTTTTTTCTGGTATTAAAGAGAGTTTAGTTATGAAATACAATATCCCTTCATAGCACGGATGTACAGATGTATGCAACACCTCTATTTAAACAATGTCAATAACCTATATTATTGCCACATAAAACCATATCATCATATAAAGAAGTCTAAATTGGCTAGCCATGGTTTTGTAAGTTTGGCAGTTTTTTGTAATGTAATGTAAAATAGGACTCATGTTGTTTGTTTGTTTCCTTCCAGCTGTATTTTGTGATTACTATAACAATCCAGAAGACTGCATCTGGCACTACAACCCTTGCCACACACCTTGCTACAAGACTTGTTTATTTCCAAATGGAACTTGTAGCAACCCAATACCAAACTTGGAGGGTAACTCAATTTAAAACATGCTGTTTCACATTTCTTTTTTTTACAAAAATGGCCCATTAAAAATATTATACTGTATTTTTATTTGTTCCAGGATGTTATCCTGTTTGTCCAGAAGATAAACCTGTATTTGATGAAAAAAACCAAACCTGTGTGGACATATGTCCTTATTGTGTTTACAATGGGACAATATATGATGAATTTGAAGTTATTTACAATGTCAGTGACAACTTGGGAATGTGCTACTACGCAATCTGCATTAATTCAACTGTGATAGAAGGCAGTGAACCCTGCTCCACACCTTCACCTTCAACTACTACACAAGAGCCAACCACAACAAAATATACAACTCCACCCACAACAACTCCAGAGCCAACCACTACAACAACTCCACCCACTACAACCCCAGAGCCAACCACTACAACAACTCCACCCACAACAACTCCAGAGCCAACCACTACAACAACTCCACCCACAACAACCTCAGAGCCAACCACCACAACAACTCCACCCACAACAACCCCAGAGCCAACCACTACAACAACTCCACCCACTACAACCTCAGAGCCAACCACTACAACAACTCCACCCACGACAACCTCAGAGCCAACCACTACAACAACTCCACCCACGACAACCTCAGAGCCAACCACCACAACAACTCCACCCACTACAACCTCAGAGCCAACCACTACAACAACTCCACCCACAACAACCTCAGAGCCAACCACTACAACAACTCCACCCACGACAACCTCAGAGCCAACCACCACAACAACTCCACCCACTACAACCTCAGAGCCAACCACTACAACAACTCCACCCACAACAACCCCAGAGCCAACCACTACAACAACTCCACCTACTACAACCCCAGAGCCAACTACTACAACAAAATATACAACTCCACCTACTACAACCCCAAAGCCAACCACTACAACAACACAATCTACTACTACACCTCCAGTCACAACCCCTTGTGTTCCAACTTGTGAGTGGTCAGATTGGTATAATGTGCATGATCCTAAAACTGACAAAAGTGACTGGGAAACCTATGAAAACATCACAAACAGTGGTCTACATATTTGTGACAATCCCTCGGAGATTGAATGTAGGTCAGCAGATGTACCAGAACAGGACTTTGATGATTTTATAGAAGAAAACAAACAAGTTGTTACATGTGACATAGGTGTCGGTTTGATCTGTAAAAAGGAAGATCAGCCTAAACGTCCAGGGAAGTGCTTTGACTACATGATCAGAGTGTGTTGTCCAGTTATCTGTGAGCCCACAACTCCAGGAACTCCACCTCCTTCTACAACACCAGAACCATCCACAACCGCCACCACCCCAGAACCAACCACAACAACAAAATATACAACACCACCCACTACAACACCAGAGCCAACTACTACAACTAAATATACAACTCCACCCACTACAACCCCAGAACCAACCACCACAACAACTCCACCCACAACAACCCCAGAACCAACCACCACAACAACTCCACCCACTACAACCCCAGAACCAACCACAACAACTCCACCCACTACAACAACTCCACTCACTACAACTCCAGAACCATCCACTACAACAACTCCACCCACTACAACCCCAGAACCAACCACTACATCTCCACTCACAACAACCCAAGAGCCAAGCACCACAACTAAATATATAACTCCACCCACTACAACCCCAGAACCAACCTCTACAACAACTCCACCCACTACAACCCCAGAACCAACCACTACAACATCTCCACCCACAACAACCCAAGAGCCAACCACCACAACTAAATATACAGCTTCACCAACTACAACCCCAGAGCCAACCACCACAACAACTCCACCCACTACAACCCCAGAGCCAACCACTACAACTGCTCCACCCACAACAACCCAAAAGCCAACCACCACAACTAAATATACAACTCCACCAACTACAACCCTTGAGCCAACCACCACAACTAAATATACAACTCCACCAACTACAACCTCAGAGCCAACCACTACAACAACTCCACCCTCTACAACCCCAGAACCAACCACTACAACTGCTCCACCCACAACAACCCAAAAGCCAACCACCACAACTAAATATACAACTCCACCAACTACAACCCTTGAGCCAACCACCACAACAAAATATACAACTCCACCAACTACAACCTCAGAGCCCACTACCACAACAACTCCACCCACAACAACCCCAGAGCCAACCACTACAACAACTCCACCCTCTACAACCCCAGAACCAACCACTACAACTGCTCCACCCACAACAACCCAAAAGCCAACCACCACAACTAAATATACAACTCCACCAACTACAACCCTTGAGCCAACCACCACAACTAAATATACAACTCCACCAACTACAACCTCAGAGCCCACTACCACAACAACTCCACCCACAACAACCCCAAAGCCAACCACCACAACAACAACGCCACCAACTACAACCCTAGAGCCAACCACTACAACAAAATATACAACTCCATCTACTACAACCCCAAAGCCAACCACTACAACAACACAATCCACTACTACACCTCCAGTCACAACCCCTTGTGTTCCAACTTGTGAGTGGTCAGATTGGTATAATGTGCATGATCCTAAAACTGACAAAAGTGACTGGGAAACCTATGAAAACATCACAAACAGTGGTCTACATATTTGTGACAATCCCTCGGAGCTTGAATGTAGGTCAGCAGATGTACCAGAACAGGACTTTGATGATTTTATAGAAGAAAACAAACAAGTTGTTACATGTGACATAGGTGTCGGTTTGATCTGTAAAAAGGAAGATCAGCCTAAACGTCCAGGGAAGTGCTTTGACTACATGATCAGAGTGTGTTGTCCAGTTATCTGTGAGCCCACAACTCCAGGAACTCCACCTCCTTCTACAACACCAGAACCATCCACAACCGCCACCACCCCAGAACCAACCACAACAACAAAATATACAACACCACCCACTACAACACCAGAGCCAACTACTACAACTAAATATACAACTCCACCCACAGCAACCCCAGAACCAAGCACCACAACAACTCCACCAACTACAACCCTAGAACCAACCACTACAACAGCTCCACCCACAACAACCCCTGAGCCAACCACCACAACAACAACACCCACTACAACACCAAAGCCTAGCACTACAACAACTCCACCAACTACAACCCTAGAGCCAACCACCACAACAACTCCACCCACAACAACACCAAAGCCAACCACTACATCAATTCCACCCACTACAACCCCAGAGACAACCACTACAACAACTCCACCCACAACAACCCCAGAGCCAGCCACCACAACTAAATATACAACTCCACCAACTACAACCCCAGAGCCAACCACCACAACAACTCCACCTACTACAACCCCAGAGACAACCACTACAACAACTCCACCCACTACAACCCCAGAGCCAACCACCACAACTAAATATACAACTCCACCAACTACAACCCCAGAGCCAACCACCACAACAACTCCACCTACTACAACCCCAGAGACAACCTCTACAACAACTCCACCCACTACAACCCCAGAGACAACCACTACAACAACTCCACCCACTACAACACCAAAGCCAACCACTACATCAATTCCACCCACTATAACCCCAGAGACAACCCCTGCAACAACTCCACCCACAACAAAATATACAACTCCACCAACTACAACCCCAGAGCCAACCACCACAACAACTCCACCTACTACAACCCCAGAGACAACCATCACAACAAATCCACCCACTACAACCCCAGAGCCAACCACTACAACAACTCCACACACTACAACACCAAAGCCAACAACTACAACTCTACCTACTACAACCCCAGAGCCAACTACTACAACAAAATATACAACTCCACCCACTACAACACCAAAGCCATCCACTACAGCTCCACCCACTACAACCCCAGAGACAACCACCACAACAACTCCACCCACTACAACACCAAAGCCAACAACCACAACAACTCCACCCACTACAACCCCAGAGACAACCACTACAACAACTCCACCCACTACAACACCAAAGCCAACAACTACATCAATTCCACCCACTACAACCCCAGAGACAACCACTACAACAAAATATACAACTCCACCTACTACAACCCCAGAGACAACCACCACAACAACTCCACCCACTACAACCCCAGAGACAACCACTACAACAACTCCACACACTACAACACCAAAGCCAACAACTACAACTCCACCTACTACAACCCCAGAGCCAACTACTACAACAAAATATACAACTCCACCTACTACAACCCCAGAGACAACCACCACAACAACTCCACCCACTACAACCCCAGAGACAACCACTACAACAACTCCACCCACTACAACACCAAAGCCAACAACCACAACAACTCCACCCACTAGATCCCCAGAGACAACCACTACAACAACTCCACCCACTACAACACCAAAGCCAACAACTACATCAATTCCACCCACTACAACCCCAGAGACAACCACTACAACAACTCCACACACTACAACACCAAAGCCAACAACTACAACTCCACCTACTACAACCCCAGAGCCAACTACTACAACAAAATATACAACTCCACCCACTACAACCCCAAAGCCAACTACTACAACTACCCCACCCACTACGACCCCAGAGACAACAACAACCACACCAGGATCAACAACAGAATGCTTCTGTATTGTTGATGGCAAGCATTATCGTCCAGGTAATTAAAAAATAAACAACATAAAATAACATCTTTTTGTTTTGTTTAAACAAAGTCATTTTCACTCTTGATTCTGAACGTAGTGTTTTTTCATGTATTTAGGGGAGATCATTTTTCATATGCACCACATTGGATTAGGCATTTGTCTCACAATGACATGTTCTGATATTTGTGAACTCCACAACAAGACTGATGCTTGTCCAACAACCCCACATCCACCTACAACTCCACCTAGTACCACTCCGTATATTCCCATTTGTCCTGAATGGGATGTTGTGGTAAGACTTTTATTACTTATTTCATTGTATGTTAAACACAATAAAAGTACAAATGCAAATCATAAAATTTATTTAAATCCACACATTAGCTTGTGTGTCTTTTTTTATTTTATTTTTTTACAAATTAGGACCTTTTGTTCTGAAATATTTCATTTGTGTTTTAAAGCAAAATGAGACGTTTTTCTTGTGCAACTGTACCATGGCCAGATGCATTGAAAACAACACAATTGAGATAATTCCATATGAGTGTCCACCACTTCAGAACATTACTTGTCTCAATGAAAAGAAACCAGTTCTTGTGTATGATGAGTACTACTGCTGCCAACATTATGCATGTGACTGTAAGTTCTTCTCAACATTTATTTATTTATTATTGCTTTATTTGCATTTTTATTTGCTTTCAGCTTTCATCTGACTTATATATTTATTTACACAAATGCTTTAGGTGAGTGTGAAGGCTGGGGAGATCCTCATTACACAACATTTGATGGATTATACTACAGTTATCAAGGAAATTGCACCTATGTTTTGATGGAGGAGATTACACCAAGGCATCAGCTGAAGATTTATATTGACAACGTCTTTTGTGATCCCACTGAAGATGTTTCTTGTCCACGATCAATAATCATAGCTTATGGATCGCAAGTTCTTACGCTCATCAATCATAACCTCATTGGAGCTCCAAAGCTGGAGGTGAGGTATAATTACAAATGTTGACTTTCATTTTCTAAAAAAAGGCCTAAGTTACTTAAAGTTAACCATTTTACTGCTGTTTACATTATTCAAATACAGGCCATTTACCATTTTGAAAAGTGTAATCACATGCTGTATTTTCCTATTTAAGTTTTCTTTTTTCTTTTAGGTTTTGAAAAATGGGAAAAGTGTGAAACTACCACATATTGAGCCTGGTATTAAAGTCATAAGCACAGGCATTAACTTAGTATTTGAGATCCCTCTCCTAAATGTGGTCATCAAATTTGGCATGACTGGCTTCAGTGTTTTCCTTCCATATCAGCACTTTGGCAGGAACACACAGGGCCATTGTGGTAAGAGCCTTTTTCTGATATGCGAAAAAAAACATTAGTTTAGAGGCACAATTTTAACTTTTAACTATTTTTGTAGGAACCTGCAACAACAACCAGACTGATGACTGCAAGCTTCCAAGTGGTCAGCTGGTGGAAAGTTGCTCTGTGATGGCTGACTACTGGCCAGCAAATGACATTTACCAACCTAACTGCCCACCACCATCTGTACTACCCACAAATAGACCTGAACTTCCACTTGAACCAACACCGTGCAACCCAGACTCCATCTGTGACCTGCTTAAGAGCAGGTAGATATTGTTTCTTCCACTCAGCTGCTTCATAGATAGAAATGAAACACAGTAATAATCATTTTACTTGCATTTGTCTTTTACAGTGTCTTTGCTGAATGCCATCCATTGATTTCTCCAGAGAACTTTTACAGAGGCTGTGCTTTTGACAGTTGCCATGTTTCCAATCCAGTAGTAGAGTGCACAAGTCTGCAGACATATGCTGCTGCCTGTGCTCAGGTTGGAGCTTGCATCCACTGGAGGAACCACACCAAACTGTGCTGTAAGCTAATCACTCAATGTTTGGCTGTTCTATATCTGCCAACTATGGATGGGATTGTCAAATATGATAAAATATGGTCTTTCTTTCATCAACAGCTGGTGATTGTCCATCAGACAGAGTCTACAAGCCTTGTGGTCCTGCAGAACAACCAACCTGTGATGATGAGTATGTTATATTTGCACTAAAACTGACCTTCACTATATGTTTATGGAAAATTCTTTCAAAACAATAAGTGGCAGTACAATGTGATATTTTTGCCATTGCAACACCGATGAGCTGTTTTATTTTATTATTTTTTTTACCTTAATAGTCCTAATGAACCATCCTTAAATATCATCACTGAGGGTTGCTTTTGTCCTGATGGAATGAAACTATTCAACAAAGAGTCTAGAATATGTGTTGAAAAGTGTGGTAAGTAGATTGCATGCCCTCAAGAGTTGCTGCTGAGCTAAATTGTGTAAAAATCTAAAGGTTTTTTTTTTTTTTCTAACAGGATGTCTTGATCCTGACGGAAATCCTCGTGAGGTGAGACACATTTTCAATCATGCTTGAAATGATAATTTTTTTTTCTTGGATTAGAAGATAAACTCCCTACTGTGGTTAAAATTTTCAGTTCAACGAGAGATTTGAGTACAAATGTCAGGACTGCATCTGTGATGAACTCACCAAAACCGTGATTTGCAAGCCTAAAACTTGCCCAGCACCACCCATTGCTAACTGCACCGGTCCTGGGTTTGTTCTTGTGAACCAAACAAACCCAGATGACACCTGCTGCTTTGCTCTTGCTTGCCGTAAGATCAATCTATCGTCAATGTTGTTTTAACCATGATAGAGTTTTGTTTGTTGTTGAAGTCTGAAATGAATTATTCTCCACAGAGTGCCAGATCAGCAGGTGTCTAGTTAGCAGCCTAAACTGTCCAACTGGTTACAAACCAGTTGTCAGTGTTCCTGAAGGAAAATGCTGCCCAGAACACACATGTGGTGAGTTTTTTATGCAAACTGAATTTAAAATAAACAAACTAAGAAAAACTATTTTAAGTAATATGTCTTGTTTCTAATTTTTCACCTTTTAGATCCTAAACGGGTTTGTGTTCACAAGGATGTTGAATACCAGGTAAACAAGGAAACACATTTGTCACATATAAATAAAACATGATCCTTTCTTACATTCTGGTGGATGTGGTCTTGTATTGTGTTGTTAAAAGAGTGAACTCTATAAACTTCTTTCTTTATCAGCCTGGCTCTTCCGTTCCTGCATACGAATGTCAGGACTGTGTTTGCAGCAACGAGGTCGACAAAAATTCGGGTCTATTCAAAATAACTTGTGAATTTCAGCATTGTGAGGAGAAATGTGACATGGTAAGGAAGACATGAGGGACTTATAGACGACCTGTCTGATTGAGTTTGACATGATGACGGGAACTTCTCGTTCCGTCTCAGGGATATGAATATGTGGAAACCAGCCTTGATGAATGCTGCGGGAAGTGTGAGCAGAGACAGTGTGTGCTGAATGTAAATGGTACCAAACAGCTCTTGAATGTAAGTAGGAGATTTTTTTGACTCAATAACGTAATATTAAACATTCTTAAACACCTTGGTGTTTTCATTCTTGTGTGTGTGTGTGTGTGTGTGTGTGTGTGTGTGTGTGTGTGTGTGTGTGTGTGTGTGTGTGTGTGTGTGTGTGTGTGTGTGTGTGTGTGTGTGTGTGTGTGTGTGCGTGCGTGTGTGACCTCCAGGAAGGAGAAACATGGTCACCGCCTCACAATAGGTGTGAGCATTACACCTGTGTTAAAAGTGGTGAAACGTTTTCCACCTTTAGTTCACACGTTGTTTGCCCACCATTCCATGAGAGCAACTGTCAGCCTGTAAGTTTCACTTTTAACCTGTGAATTTGAATTAATAGCATGTGTATTAAAGGTAAAACAGATTTCATGTGTATTTCTCTTTCTAGAATACAATTCAGACAGCAGCAAACGGCTGCTGTAGAATCTGTGAGTACGATACCTTCATTTTAACTTGCAGCTCAAACATGAAGATGAGCTAAATAGAAGTATTTTTTCCAAAGGTGTGGAGAAGGAGAGGGCCTGCAAGGTAATGACCATGAAAACACGTATTACACATCAGGGCTGTCAGTCTGAGCAGGAGGTGGATATGCCATTCTGTGAAGGATCATGCAACACTTTCACCAAGTAAGGACACTGTGACATGTGCTTTATACACGTTTTGAGAGACAGAAAAGCTTTTGAGGTGCAGCTGATGTAGATTCTTAATCATTTATTTTGCTTTTTTCAGGTACTCTGAAGCAGCAGCTGCGATGCAGCATTCCTGCTCCTGCTGTAAGGAGGCACGTTTCAGCAATCGCACCGTTGATCTGATGTGCCTGAATGGAGAAACAGTCCCCCACACCTACATGCATGTGGAGGAGTGTGGCTGTGGAAACACAGAGTGCACCATTCCTGGTGCACAACATACACGGAGAAAACGAAGCTTGGCTTTGGTGTGATGTAATTCTTCTGCTCATTAACGGATGCTGAAAGTGTTTCTTATAATCTTGTAATCTAATGTGGTAATTGTCATTGAAATGAAGTATTCATCAACTGATCAAATAAAGAGATGCAATTCAGTCCTATTTCTTGTCATGATTTACTCAAAGGTTTGGTGCACCCAAGCAAACATTACTTAATTAAAAGTGGTTGATATTGTTTAAAGATGTGGAACACTGGAAAACCATTTTTTTAAATCTAATTCCAGAGTATAATCGGCTGAACATGAAAATAGTCTCCTACACCGATCTCCTGCATTAGCTTCTGATAGAAAATAGACTGTGAAACTCCAGGATTAGAAAAGTCTGACAGATCTACGTCACACTGTCACTTAACATTCATGGACTCGCCCATCTTGGCTCGCAACAAGGAAGGCTGTTGTTGTTTAATCATCCTGGAAACAGCAGAAAACACCTCAGCTAGTAGAAGCTAACCATTGGCATTAGCAACTCCACAAAGTGGCAGAACTTTTCCAGGCTTGTGTTCTTTGTGGAGAAAAAACCATCAACAACTGATTTAGGCTTATCAGAGAAAAGTTTGAATGCAGAAGTGTGCAGGAACCTATTTAGACACCAGGAGGATTTCATAGCCCAGGATGAGACTGACTCATCAACTGAAGGTGTGACACACAGAGTACCCATAGCTAAACTCCAAACAATACTCTCTACCAGCAGGGTTGTTTCAGAGGCAGCTAGCATACTGATGGTTGCTTGTCCCAGCTAACCTAGAGCCAAGACATCCTATCAGTGTGTGGGTAATTATTTCTGAGAAAGGCTGGATGTCTAGGACAGACATCAGGAGTAAAATGTATGACTTTTTGTTGACTATGAACAGAAACCTCATTTTGATTCTGTCTGTAATGCTCTTAAGTAAATGACGATCTCAAGAGGAATAAAACAAAATGGCACCAATCAAACCTGTTGTTTTGATGCTAACAGTGACACAGTCACAACATAACACTCTCATAATGATTTGGGAGTCAGCTGTTAGTTTATTGCTCTGCTTATGTGGTGAGTGCAGAGAAATGGTTTATTTAGTTGGAAACTTCCTCCCACCTAGACTTTTTACCCATGCTTATTCATTCAGATCCTTTACTCCATTTTATAGTTCTACAAAGAAATGTTCTTAGTCAACACTAAAATCTATCTCTAGTTGTAACTTTACTTATGAGTTCATCAATAAGTCACCAGTTGTTTACTTAGCAGGTAGCACCATGCCTGTCATCTGAAAGATTTTGATTTCCAGGATTTATTTTATTTCAATCTGCAACACAGTGACATCTGAAAGCCTGTGAGAGCAAACATGTTCAGAACTACGATGGCTCATGTTATGTGGATGTGACAGCATTCAGTGTAAAAGTTAGCGTTACAAATCCCAAAATCATCCCTTTGATGTGATAATGGGATGAGCCTCCAGGTTTCTGCTAAAACAAACAGAAACCGGTTTAGGTGGAAATATGACTGAGCTCATTCCCAGAAAGCTCCCAGGCAGTGTCGTCAAAAGGTTCACTGCCACATACGCTCTTACAGATGTTCCAGATGATATGACTTTGTGTTTGCCTTCAAACCACATGGCAGCTGGTAAATGTGGCTTTTGCCTCCAGCTCTCAAAGACAGCTGATCAACGCCAGGAAAGTGTTTTTCATATAAAAAAATCATATTAAAACATAAAACTTGACAAAAGCAGAAAAGTGTCTTGTATGCTAAACTATACTGATGTAATATTTTGGAGATAATTAGGTTGAAATCAATGAGCTAAATAATATGTCCTGGAACACCTCTGTCTTAAAACCAGATTTATTTATTTATTTATTTATTTATTTATTTTATTTTTTTATTTACACCAAACAGACAGAATTTTTTAAATACATTCCGGGTGTTTACAGAATCTTTTTCAGAAAATTAAGGACAAGTCCTTGGTAAGCAATCACTGAAAAGCTGGGATTACCTGACAGAGCCGATGGGCTTAATCACGTTTTACACTAGTTTGCTTTTAGCTTTAACGTCTCACTAACAAGCCCAGATTATGTAGCATCATTGTGAGAAGGTCAACAAAGGAGCCTGGGTCTTCTAGTTGGCCCTATAGGGTCAACTAAAAGAGGGGTCAGTTAGAAATAGTTGTTACTCAAAGAGTTTTTCTGAATCCTTCCACAACCTGTCCAAGCAGAGAGATGGGAAATGTTATAACCACTGTTCCCTGAAGAAGAGGAACGAGGTGCAACTAAGGTACTATGGGACATCGCGTCCTCGTGTGGCCTGGCTGAAGACACATTTAATCACGCTTGTAAAGGCAAAAGAGCGTGACGCTTGGTGGTGGCCCCGCCCTCCACACACAAGCCCCCCGCATCACCGGCATTTTTCAGTTCTACAGCCGCTCTTCACCGAGGCTGCAAAGGGGGCAACCATGCACTGTACCTCATTCCTCTCCTTCAGGGAACAGTGGTTATATGCATAACCTAACGTTCTCTTTCAGTCGATTCATTCGGTACAACAAAGGTACTATGAGACTGTAAAAACGCCCCATAAGCAGCTGTCAAACCTGGGCCGACAATGCCATCTAAGATGGCAACTCAGACCCAGCAGAAAAAACTTCATGAGCCACCGAAGGGGCCATGAATTCCAGACGGTGTAATCCCACAAAAGTGTGGGGTGCAGCCCAGCTAGCAACTGAGAAAAAGTCATTAAATGAAGCACCCTAAAAACAGCACCCTTGAAGTAGTCAAACCTCTAATAGAGTGCGCTCGTATCTTTTCAGCCTGCTGAGAAACATTACCCCTGTTACACAAGCTGTTTTTATAGGACCATAGCATTTTGAAAACGGGATTTGCTGCGGCTCCCTGGGGAGGAAAAAGGTCGTTTATAAGATCAGACCATGGCGGTAATGTGGCGCAATCGTGGCGATTTTATAAAAGATTAGGTGATGGCGGCATAAAGGGGGTATGGGGGCTGTCTCTGCGCTGCCGCAGACTTACGTTAATCTTGGATATAACTTGCTTTTTATTGCAATTGAAGCCGTGATTGTTAAGTTTTTTTAACAAGCAGCTCCTAAAGGTGTCTGTCCCCATCAATCCCTGTGCAGTCTCTGGTGATCTGAGCTTCAGCTCTAACAGAGAGGCTCATGGAGCACTGCGACGCTCCAGTTTGTCACGTCAGCTGATTTTGTTCAAAAAGCAAAACTTACAGCCTGTGTTTACTTTCATTTTCAATATAGTTATCGGCCGGAGCTCGGCATCAATTCTCTACGTCATCATGGCATCTGCCTCTGTTGCGCCAGGGCGCATACGACAGACCATTAACGCAATATTACTACCAAGCGAGGCGGAACCGGGCGGAACGAATGCCGCAATATTTGCGCAACGCCATGTCGGCATGGCGCGTTTATAGACATACCATTGCGGTAACATTACACCAATTTGCCGGCATGGTGTGCATAGGCGTCATTTTAACCGGGGACGCCGGGGACATGTCCCCGGCAAAATTTGTGATTGGCAGCTGTGTCCCCCCCACTTTCAAAAAAGCCTGCTGATGAGGATTTTTGTTTTACCAGCTCAGATCTTATACCAGGGGTCGGCAACCTGTTCCCATCAAAGAGCCATTATTACCCTTTTCCCACAGTAAAGAAAACACCGCAGTAGCCGCAGCGTTGTGGGCAGGGCCTACCCTCAGACAGCAGAGAGCTGCTCACAACCAGGTGACAGCAGCCGGTACCGGTCGCTCGCATGGGCGTCGCACCCGTGGGGGATTCAACACCCACAATTTTCCTTCTGTTTTGCTCACCTCCACACCAGTCTGGTTTCTTTAGGTCGCACTCACTCTGTTTGCCTCATCTCCTTCTTCACCTCCGCTTCTGACAGCTGATGTCGGGTTTCCAGGAGAGCAGGAGAGGGAGGGACTTAGAGCTCGACTGAATTCATAATTTTACATCTTGACATTAGCTGTACAAAGTCTGAGTTTGATCAAGTGAAGAACAATAATTTGCAGAGGTTTATAACTGGCGCAGCGCCAGGTTTTCATTTTTGGGTGGGCCACGGTAATTTTGGACGGACCTTAATAAGCAGTGACTTAAGTGAAGCAGGCAGGTCGCGCTAGAAAATTTCGTTTAAAAAGACGTCATAAATGTTTTCCCCCGTCATTTTTATTTCTAAAATATGAAGTAAAAACTCACAATTTAATTTTCATTCATTTGTCATTAATATGTAGTCTACACCCCTGCGTTAAGTGGACCATCTTCCAGTGAAAGAAAAGCATCCAGCCCACCTCTCCAAATGCGTAAAATGTGCATCACAGCCACTAGGCGCACTGCGCGCACCGTCAGCTGTCAGCCCAGACAAGAGCAGAACAAATAGAGAAAGAATAGAGGATAATTCTGTCTGGATGTGGATGGAGATTACATTTTACAGCAGCCTGATCATCATCTAAATACGTAAACCATCACCTGTCTTCTAGTCCACGCTATCAGCATTATGTTAATTGGTGTGTGTGTGTGTGTGTGTGTTTTCCACTTCCAACACTGGTCTAACCAACCAGACCAGTGTGTCCAGTAACATATTAATGTTACAATTAAACAGTTTCACTTCATGTAGGCTAGGAACATTTCACCTGCCGTAGCCCGACCGCTTCTGCTCCACATAAACTTTGTGCGTGATCAAATGTCTCTACAGGTGCTTTCTGAGCTGAAGAGGCGACTGGATGCGTCATGCGTCTCCATATTAGAGACGGGAACAAGCGCTATTCAGCCAAACTTTCATAATTTCATAAAAATAACATTTTTCCAAGTGACACATCCCTCAGAGAGACCGAGTTTCCAGACCGCTTCAGTGGGAGGAAATCAACCAACATCCTTGAGTTTATCCGTCAAAATAAACAGTCAAATGGAAATATCTGTAACCTGTCATTTAACTGTTTTGCCTTCTTGTGAAGATTGTTGCAACGAGAAACAATTAAACTTGATTAACCCCAGAGCCACGCACACTGCGCTGTAGTCCGTGACTGTAAATGAGGGGGAAACGATTTAATGGGATCCTTTTCTTTTCAACATGGTTTAATGTAAAGTTTCATTCAGTACAAACTTTAGTTACACC